GGGGGGGGGTGGGGGGTGGTGGAATCTCTGCTTTGTCAAAAAGAACATCAGAGACCCGTGGAGGAAATCTTTATAGAAAAGTCATTAACAGAAAGACAGTGGCTGTCACAAAAAAAAACACGTACATTTCACTTTATTTCTTCTCTTGGCTTGGCAAGGGTCATCGTTTATTAGAGACAGTCAGGTGTATCCTATAAAGCAGAATCAGCTGTCAAAACTAAAGATAAAGAAAGCAGCATGCAGGGTACAGGTGTAATTAGTAAGTCTGACCAGAGAATGATGGACACTGACTGCTTTACATGCCCGCTGCCCAGCTGATGTCAGTACTAACTGCTGGGATCTCACAGAGGTTTTGGTGTCGCTCCTCTGAGCAAGGAAGAAGGAAGGTAAGCCAGCATGTCCCAGTGCTCTCCAAGGCAACAGGGAATTATTTTAAGAGGGTGAATGCACTGCTACTGCGATAGACCCCCACACTACCACTCCTCTCCCATGTGATCCTACAAACTAAATGTTGGTACCTGCACTGATCTTCTCTTCTCTTGCCTAATGCCACCCATGGACACAATTAACATCTGCTTTAATACCTGCACCAGCAGAAGTATTCCAGCTCACACGGGACACACATTTTTATCAGATGTTGTCTGTAAAGAGAATGCAATGTTGTTTCTTTCCCACTCTTCCTTCTCTCTCTCTCCCCAGTAATGCCTGGCATTTTCTTTCCCTCTTTTGCTGATGATGCCATCAATGGACATAGTGCTGGCCAGGAGCAGAAAGGAAATCAACCTCCCTTTCTACCCGGGCTGCTATCTAAGCAGGTGGGACAAAACCAGCAGGGCACACCACCACCTTCCCCCAAACAAGATTCCCACTAGGAAATTTCTAAGACTTGCAGAGCAGCAATGAGAGAGTGAGGAGAATTGGCTGTACGTTCCTCTGCAAAAAGAAACTATGTAGGGGAATGAGGTGTATTGCCAGTCTATTCTTCCAGTATGGCTCTTTGGATGTTTTTCCAGCTGAAGAGAGCGTCTCAAAAGCTGGGCTTCAGAGCGTTTCTTCAGGAAAACCGGAAGCTAGCTCAAGTTTGAACCATGACAGAATTTTTTTTTTGCTGCAGTCAGACCATGTCATCAGTGCATGTATCCTCAGAAGTGAATGTCACTGTGGCTCTTTCCCTGTCCTCAGAACTGAGTTTTTTTCCAAAGGAAAAGTTAATGTGCCAAGGAGTGGTGAGCATCCAGGTCTTGTTCTGATGGGCAGTTGGGATGTGGCCAGGATGTCCACCTGAAAACAAAGACTGCAGGTGTCATCATGAACTATGCTAATCTGATAAACTTTTTGTCCTTTCCACCCAAACTCCTCCTTCAATATGCAAGGATTCTCCTTCTGAAGCTTCCCAAAAGTGCTATAGCTGACTGTTTCTCTTTACCTCTGCCTCTTGCTATGACATCTGCTGCTTCCTGAACCAAGACAGACTTGAGACATGATGCCTGTTTCTCATATGTTGGAGAAAGGTACCTCTTTCAGATAAATCTGTACCAAAGAGGAATGCATTAGGAGGAAGGCTTTTGTGGTCACCGAGGCAAGCAGCTCTGGTGCTGGTATTACCCAGAGCAGAACACTCTAGCGTGATGCACAGTGGGGTTTCCCAAACCAGTAAACCTCAGAGGAGACAAGAGAGTGGCCAGGAGCCCACAGCTCAGCCACAGTGGCTGGTGGGGCCTGGGTGAGGCAAGGAGCAACAGTGCCTGGGGAGACTCTGGCTGTTGTCCTTCATGTGATATTTGATTGCTTTCTCCCCGCTTCATTGCCATGCTTAATCCTGCCACATGTCTCAGCAGGATCTCCAAAATCTATCTCCTTTCTGCTACATCCTGGACAAACAGCTGACTACTCCACAGCCTGCTTTGCTGCTTCCCTCATACCTGATTCAGAGCCTTTTTCACATGCTCTGCAGGTGAACACTAGCTTGTTCCTGCTCCTGGCCACCCCACCACACTCACAGTAAAATTCTCACCTGCAGGTGCCAAACACTCTGAAAAATTAAAACTTCCATGCAGGGGGCTGGGACTTGTCACTCAGAAAACAGTCTCATGCAAAGAGCAAATTAACATTTATTGATTTTGTTTGTTTGTTATCTTATCAACACAGAATATGCTGAAGGAAGAAGGAAACATTAAACATAAGCCATGAATAATTGTTCCCTTCAGGTGTTAGTCAAGCACACTCCACTGAATGCTCTTCTTTCAAATTCTGCTCCAGTGATTTGTAGGACCAGTACCCTTCCATGAATCAGAGAGGGCCTTTTTCACATCATTGAGATATTGACTGGACAAGGAGTCAAGGAAAATACTGGAGGATCAGGACATCTGTGAAGGAGGAGAGTGAAAAGGGGCACAGTATGTCCTTGACAGTAGCTTGAGTGATTTCATCCAGGACTGATCTCCAGCTTGGAAAAGAGATGCAGGGCGCAGGCTGAGAACTTAGGTCCTTCAGAGCTGGGATTCTGTGGCAGGATTGCTCATCCTACGTCACAAGATAAAGCATTTGTGAAAGCTCAGGCCAGCTTTTCATCAGTTCTTTCATGAGCTGCTCTTTCTCAAGGATACTCCTTCATGTCCTTCATCCAAAGTGGAGTTTCCTTCCTTAGACAAATTTGACTGCCAGTTCACAAATTCGATAGCAACTTGTGAAGCAAAGGATGTTATTCCAATTACTGTAAGTGCTGGAGTCTGTATTTCCCTTGACATGAATTGCAGCACATTTTTCTGCAAAGAGTAAATTGGGTTCCCCGGGCTTCCAGAACCTGTAAAAGAAAGTTCCTCTATTGGGAATGCATTGGCATGCATGACTGGGGGCGAAGTCACCTCAAACAGCTGTGGAGGAGAAAGGGAAAGGTTACTGTGATAGAGATCTACAGCCATAGTTTTAACTAGAAAGCTAGTCAAGCTTTCTGACTTATAGGGCAATTTGAGACAGAAATCCCACTCTGACACGTATCTACCTTACACAGTGTATTAGTTGCCTGGACTGAGGGGGGTGAATTACAGGACCTTTCTCTCTCCCCCGGTATACTCACGTGTCCGCCACCTTATACGGAGTCTGATCCACCCACTGCCACTGCCCAGTTTTGTAAGCAGATAAGCCTATGTAGTATTTTGTTTCATAGTCGTTAGTAACTACTCCTTTTGCCAAGTTGAAGAGGAACTCCTGGAAAAAGCACAATGCCCATGAGGTGCAGGACTGAGCAGAGAGAGGCATCAAGAGTTCCCGTGGGGTGGGGCTGGTGGCAGAGGGAAGCGGGTGCTGCAGGGACACAGAAAGGACATTCCCCTCCCTTGCAGGACAAGGAGGGCTCTGAGTCCCCTCCAGGGCCTGGCACTGTGTCTCTGGCCACTCTGCCCCTCTCTGGGCCATGCACCTACCTGCTCTGCTTTGCTGTTGATCACCACCAGATGGGAGCCCATCCCAGTGCAGTTCTGCACACTCTCAGCCCAGGACATCGTATCATCTGAGATATAGTAGCAGCTTTTTTGAAAGCGCTTCCAGCCCTTCGGGCAGCACATCCAGCCCTCCTCTTTGGGGGGAAAATGTCCTGCTTTTGAACAAGATGTGATGTCCTTCATCTCTGTGAATACAAAGTAGGTATTTGGGAAGGGGTCTGAACCACACTCGTAATCTGGACAGAGGTAAACGCTCTCCTCCATGCTCCACAAGTAAAGCTGTCAACAGCCTGACAGACTCCAGTCACGAGGCCCCTGCCCGAAGTGCCTTTCCCTTTCTCTCTCTCTTCTGCCATGTCCACGCAACTTCTGCTTGGCGAGAGACACAGTTTCTGCCTTACCCTTCCCGAGAAAGCAGGATGGCTCACGCTCCTCTGGGAACGCTTCCGTCAGGGAAGTGTTGTCCAAGTGTTTAGCTCTCAGCTGATGCAGACTGACAGACATGTGCAGTAAGCTGCTCTGACAGCCTTGCCGCCACCACAGCCCCTTCCTTACACTAGCCAGGTTTTCCCAGAGATCTGCCTTATAGCCAGAAAGTCACACAACAGATTAAAAAACCCCACAGCTACATCCTCTCAAAGGCTACATGCTAACAGATCTCTGAGCTGAGTTCAGGAATTTGCACTGCAGGAATACCAGCACATGCCATTGCCATCACTTCATGTGTGATTGCAGCCCAGCTCTCCAGCTACTCTAAACCACATGACAACATCCTCCTACCACTCCTACCTCTGACCCTCACGCTGACCATGATGCTTGTGTGAACTGGCAGTGAGCCAGCACAGGGAGTGGAGCTGGATTGAACCAGCCCTTACAAAAGGATGAAGAACTTTCAATAGGATTAGTGAACTTGACTAGCAGTTGAGGGGTTGTGTGAGGGCCAGTGAGAGGGGAAGAGCAGAAAGGGTGGTCCAAGATAGGTCTGGAACAACCCACCCTCTTCCATTGCGCTGGCCTGGCCCAGGACATGGTTTCATGTCATCCTAAGTAAAATAGTGCAATATAGCATTTTCTTTCCTCAGTTCTCCACCTTCCTTCCTTAAAACAATCTGGCTCTGGCTGGCAATCACATTCCCAACCTCGAAGGCTGACTGACACGGGAGTAAATTTTGGTAAGGTTCTTAGTGCTGCCTATGAGACACTTAGCATCACTTACTTTTGCCTGCAGCTACGCTGGGAACGCAACACCACTCTGTAGCATCCTGGAGCAGAGTATTATACTGGCCATAGCTTCCATGAAGGAAAATAACTGGGTAGAGGGGAAAGAGAAAGAAAGTATTACTGTCATCCTTTCCTCCTCATTCATGAGCAAGTTGTCCTATCCTCCACATTCTGGCTTAAAGCTCCCACAGAGACTCCGTTACATAAGCAAGCTCCAAATTCTGTATTGAACAAAGAGATGACAAACAGCAGGCTGTTTCTCCCACTACTGGTCATTCCCACCTTTGAACAGGAATTAATTGGATGAGCTCCTCTCACCTCTGCTAACCAAGAGTCTCATTTCCAGTTGAAAAAAAAAGATTAGACATCCTTTAAGGATGGGTTCAAGAGAGAGTCTAAGAAGTCATGGAGTAAGTTTAATAAATGTAGAATATTAAAATACATTCCCTCTGAATCTTCCCAGCCATTGCAGCTTTAGAGCACCATTTTTGCCCTTAACACGACGGCATAGAACAGTTGAGTATTGGAGACTCACACAAAGGAGTTAAGAATAAACACACAAGAGTCGTTACAGAGAAATATCATATTCCAAGACAATACAAGCAAATTATTTTCCTTTTGGTCAGCACAGGCAGTGTGGGTGGGATGCGGCTGGAGCACTATGATGGATTCACCCCCACCCTACTAAAATATGGGCAGCCTGACAGCAGTATGTCCAAGGACATCACACCGGCTCCTTGCCTGCAACATCGCCACAGGGAGCTCTGAGAGCCCAGAGCAGGAGAACCAGCATCCAAGAGCCAGCCTGTGGGGAACCTCCTCAGACGCCCTCTGACACTGAAGAGACTTCTCAGCTCTTGGTGGGAGGGGAGAGACTGACTGGTTTTATCCAGGACGGGCTTTACTCAGGCAGGTGGGAACGCGAGAGGAGCAGTGGGAAGGCGCTGCAGGGAACAAACCTGAACTGTGGAAGGGACCCTACTCCCTGACTAAGAGGGCAGAGGCGGGAGAGGGGAAGCAGAAAAGGCTCATTTGGCAAAAGGCATTTGCCTGCTGTCAGGGATTGGTATATTGCCCTTCCATCTAACAAAAGGCAGTCAAGTCAAGCCCCAGAGGAATTAAGAGACCTGGAAACCCACCAAGGCAGACAGTGACAAAGGCAGTTTTGATGGCAAGGGCAGAAACTAGGAAGATCCAGGGCTTCATCCAGGAGCAGCTTCTCTCTTCTGCTGGGGCTGAAAAACACAAGGCAAGAGTGGGAATCCCTCAAGCCAGAGTCAGGGGCAGGATGACCCTGGTGGCTCCGTACCCCAACCACCTGCTGGGGCCCTTGTTCCAAGGACTGGGCAGACCCACAGATGCTGTAACCAGGTCCTGCTGTAACCAGGTCCTGCCGCCCGTCATTAGCAGTGGGTCAGACCCACAGAGTAGGGCAACACAGGGGTTGCCCTGAAGCTGCTCTTGGGTTTCACTTCTGATCAATCACAAGCCCTGCCTCTACTCTTCCCAAACTGCACTCCTCCTTTCTTTGTCCCATCTCGCCTCCTTTCTCCTCAGCACAGTTTCCCTGTTGCCCTTGTTACCCCTGTCTTTCACTGAACGTTCTCTCCTTACCTCCCTCCTCTTCACTCTCCTTAGAGCTTCTTTCTCTTAGCTCCCTTTATTTTGCCTCTCTTCCCCAAGCCCTTTTATGCAATAGCATGTAGCCACTCAAAGGAGTGACGGTCCAGCTCAGTGTTTGCAGAGGCAGACACACAGAAGCGATTGTTTCCACAGGGAGAACGGGCACTTTGGAGCTCTTGGGGGATCTCCCTTCTCCTTAGAGTCACCGGAGATGGGAGCAGGGACTTGTGCTGAGCTTGATGCAGATAGTTTCACCTGGAGAATGATAGTGGGATAGCACGCTTTTGTCCCATCACTTAGAGAATGAACACACTGAAGGGGCCGGCAGACCATAGTCTGCCTGGACTTTCACTGCCGCGGCTGTGGGAAAAAGGTCCTTCTCCCAGTCCAGGCACTCCCCAGTTCCCTCGTCTGTTGCTTTGCTCTTGTCCCAAGCCCCTTCTCCTGGTGTGAGGCCAGCCACCGTACCATGCCCATTGTCTATCCCAGCTCTGTATTGCACCCCAGCTCCTCCTCCTTCTGCAGGAGGACAGAAAGGAAGGCTTTGGGGTTACCTGCAGTTCCGGGACTGACACTCCCTTGGCGATTCATTATCTCTTCTGGTCTCCCTCTTCTCCAAGAGTCCACATTACCAGTGTCTTCCTCCCGCACAGGACACTGCACT